AGCATAGTAATTACCGTGCTCCAGTAGACTCAAGCATCACATGTATCAGTATTCCTGGGCTGAAAAATGGCATCAGGGGTGCTTTAACTAAAGCTTGTTTGTCAGGCTTCAGTTAAAGTGCTCCCATCACCATTTTTCAGTGCAGGGATGCTGATACATGTGACACTCCAGGTGTTTTAATTAGAGCAGCTCTTGGAGCCACTCTAAGTAAAGTGCCCCTCCCTACTCCCAGCGTGTGTGTATAAATGCACTTTTTGACCAGATTGCCTCTCAGCACATTTCATAGATTTCATAGACATTAGGGCTGGAAGGGACCTCGGAAGATCATCGAGTCCAGCCCCCCGCCCAAAGGGCAGGAAGTCAGCTGGGGTCATAGGATCCCACCAAGATAAGCATCCAATTTGTTCTTGAAGGTGTTCAATGCAGGTGCTTGAACCACCTCTGATGGCAGGCTGTTCCAGACCTTGGGGGCTCGGCCAGTAAAGTAATTCTTCCTTATGTCCAGCCTGAAATGGTCTTGTGGTAGTTTATGACCATTTGAACTCATCATCCCTTGGGGCGCTCTGGTGAACAAACGTTCCCCCAGATCCTGGTGGTCACCCCTGATAAACTTGCAGGTGGCCATCAGATCACCCCTGAGCCTGTGCTTTTCCAGGATAAAGAGCCCCATGGCTCTCAGCCTGTCATCGTAAGGTCTGCTTTCCTGACCTCTGATCATGCGCGTGGTTCTTCTCTGGACTCTCCAGGTCAAGAAAATTCTGAGCAGTTTCCCCTGTATTTGAGACTCAAAATTATCACCCTGCTATACCACCAGGCACACCACTAGCACTCAGAGAATAAATAGTAACAATATACTGGTATTATAGGTATGTTGTATATATGTTTCTCCAACCAAGAACTCACGGAAAGATGAAAAAATACGTCAGGCAAGCAGGGCAGTGGGGGTGATCAGATACATGTGTGCTGTATCAACCAATTGAGTATTTTATCCAGGTCTGGCCTGTAACAATCTGATCTTGCCAAGGTAATGAGTGACTCTTGAAAAGTAGCAAGTTAGAAGTTGAGAATGAATGGCATTATTCAGCAAGCTAGAGGAGGGATGCTCAACCTCTGGCTTGCAAGTCAAATATGGCCTGTGGAGCCATAGTATCCAGACTGTGGACTCCTCACAGATCCGAAATTTGGTAGCCAGGAAGCAGTGGCAAGAAATCATAGAATTATAGAAAATTAGGTTTGGAAGGGGCCTCAGGAGGCCATCTAGTCCAACTGCCTACTCAAAGCAGGACTATCTCCAACTATACTACCCCAGCCAGCGTTTTGTCTAGCTGGGTCTTAAAAACCCCCAAGGATGGACATTCTACCACCTCTCTGGGTAACCTGTTTCAGTGTTTTACCTCCCTCCTAGTGAGGAAGTTTTGCTAATATCTAACCTAAACTTCCCTTGCTGCAACTTGAGACCATTGCTCCTTGTTCTGTTATCTGCCACCATCCTCTTTGGAATCCCCCTTCAGGGAGTTGAAGGCTGTTATTAAATCCCCTCTCAATCTTCTCTTCTGCAGACTAAATAAGCCCAGTTTCCTCAGCGTCTCCTGAGAAGTCATGTGCCCCAGCCCCCTAAACATTTTTGTTGCCATCCATTGGACTCTCTCCAATTTGTTCACTCTATCCAATTAATTACTTCCCTCGATCTTCTGGTGACACTCCTACCAATGCAGCCCAGTATGCTGTTAGCCTTCTTGGCAACAAAGGCACACTGTTGGCTCATATTCAGCTTAATGTCATGGTTAATATTGCCATGCCTCCACCACTGCCAAATTCCTAAGCTCCACATAGCTGGAACAGGGCCAGGCCACATCTCCTTCCTTCCCTATACCCCCAGATTGGGGCTGGGCTGTGGCCCTTTTCCCTCACTCCACATGGCTAGGTCAGGGCTGAGGCACTCCCTGAACCTGTCACATGGCTGGACTGGGTCCTATCTCGCCGCCCTGTGTGCTGGTTTAGGCCCAACAGCCAGATCCAGCCCATGGCGGGGACTGAGCACCATCCACCTTGCCTGAGGGGGAAAATGGTTGGGCACCACTGCCGTAAAGGATTGGGCATAAAATCAGCTGCTTTAAGAATGAACAGATTAGCCTGGGTATTACACGTTCCTTGGCCCCCTGCTGGTGTTCTCTGAAAAAGCAGCATTTAAGACTCCACATAGCATCCTAATTAGAACAAATTGACTTGTTCTGAAGAAAAGACATTTTGTGGGGATTTGAAAGGCCCAAAATGAAGGCTCTAACTTGGATGAGCCATATTCTTGGATGCTGTAACTTGTTTTTCTTTTCTCTCTGTTTTTGGTTTGTGTATCTGCATTCAGGTTTAACTTAGTCAACCTTCACTTTGGCAAACTGAAAGGAAACAACAACACCCCAAAACAGAAGAATGAAGGACTAACTCTTCCTCCCCACCTACATAGTATACCTTCTACCTCAAACTCATAGTAAAAATCTTCAAGTGTTATAATCCTTTCCTTTAACCCCTTTTACACTCAGGAAAGGGTAATCCTGTTCCTATGACCAATTCACAGCTCTATAATTTCATATAGGGTCCTTGTACACATGATGCTAATAACATGTACACGTGACGAAAATGTCACTTTGTGTGGCTTAATGGTATCACAGCATACACATACAAGACTTTGGGGAGTTTTAAATGACTTTGCATCATTGCAAACTAAACTACATCAGGATGTAGTTTAGTCTGTAACTTTGCAAATTGCAATGATGAAGCTATTGGATTGATCCCCAGCCACAGGAGAGGTGGGCAGATGCCACAGAACCAAAGGATTGGGATCCTCACTGCTTCTCCCTTCAGCAGCCACACTTGGCCTGCTAGCAACCTGCCTGGGCAGCTCTGGGGGCACTGCCATGGTGGAGGGAAGGACCAGGCCAGCTCGCCCTCCCCAGCTGTGGGAAAGGCAGGCAGACTCCACTGAAAAAAAGGATCAGGCCCCTCACTGCTTCTGCCTTCAGCAGGCCCCTGATACTTTTTTTTTTTGGCAGAGCCTGCCTACAGCTGGGGGGTGAGTTGCTAATGGGCTGAGCAACTCCTGAGCTGGGGGGGGGCTCCAGTCCTTCCCCCTGCAGCAGCAGCTCCCCTGGGGATGCCTGGGTGGGCTGCTAGTAGGCTGGGTGCTGCTCCAGCACAGAGGCAGTTGGATTGGGTTGGGTGCTGCCTCTGAGCTGGGGCAGCACCTGGCCCACTACCAGCCTATCCAGGTGGCCCTGGGGGGTACCTCCGCCATGGAGGGAAGGACCAGGGCCCTCCAATAGCTCAGGGGCGGCTCAGCTTGCCAGCAGCTTGCTCCCCTTCTGTGGGCAGGCTCTGGCTCTGACAAAATTAAAAAAAAAAGAGCATCGGGCTCCTTGCTGTCACGTGATTGGAAAAATTCTAACACTTTAGTCCTCAGTGTTTTATTCTATGTCTTGCCCTTTCAATTTAGGGCCACAGAATAAAACCCTGGGGATTAAACCCCCATCCTGTGTACAAGCCCCCTAGTTTTTCCCTCTGTTTTGAGGCAGAATCAGTATAACGAGGTGCTATCTTGACAGATTTGTCTAAAAACCACCAGAAAGGAGGACGACAGTCTCCATAGGTGGTCTATTCCAGTACTTAATTTGCCAAGTATGTAACCAAATCACCCTTGCCCAAAATTGGACAAAGTACCCAACTGAGGCTGAGTAGAGCAGAACAATTGCCTTTTTTTGCAACATGCTAGTTTGTTGCTGAATATAATTCTTAGGTCCCAACAGCCAGACTAACCAGTTATTTCCTATTTTTTGTTTAAACATTTGGTTTTGTCTTCCTAAGCATATTTTTTATATTCAGACACGTGTATTTATTCTCATCTTATTGATTTAAGATAATTTCTCAAATTTATCAAGATGATTTTGAATTCTTATTGTGGCCTGCAGAGTGCTTGCAACTTCTCTCAGCTTGGTGTTCTCTGCATATTTAACTGCATCATGCACTTCTGAGATGGCAACCTGCCACAGTAGTTATTTCACTGTGTAACAGCTAAATTCCAAACTACTTAATGGTTAATTGCATATTAAACATTATTTGCAATGATTATTATTGTTTATTATTTGTGTTACAGTAGCACCCTACTAAGATTGAAGGTCAGATTGAGGTAGATTTTGGGCATAATGAAAGAGCTCCTGGCAGACAAATTTAGCAGGCCAAGTAGAAATGAGCAATGAGTGAGAAGATAGCATATTAGAATTATGCACCAAGATAGCACATTGATAGAAGGCTTATTCTTAATAACAGCAATATAAGGAACCTGGATGATGCTGGGGAAGACTAAGAGAATTGGCTGTGAGATATAGGTTTTTTCTCCCTTTTGGATGCCAATTCTAATTTAGCTCAGAGACCTATCAATCAAATGTTTTCCTCAAAAAAAGCAGTTTGATGCTCTGCCCATCACTGTTTTTCTGGTGCTAGAAAAACTGGGAAATTTTGCAATTGGATTTTATCTCGGCACTCCTCGGCATAGAAATCAAGTACTGAATGGATGTGGAAGCTAAACTTGTGGTGTTATAGGTTTTCATAGAAGTGGGACAACATCTGGAGATGGAGCATGTCCAATGGGAGGTAGTGCTCTGTCAACAGTGGGTAAGCCTCTAATGCCTAGTTAGAGTTTAGGCACATTGGTGGGAAAATGCAATGTCATATGTGTTGCTGCTGCCTGTGATGTAACTATTCTTGCAACAGGCCTAAATTCCCCAGGCCTAGCAATCCAATATTTTCACAGTACTACTGTACAGTACATTTTTTCCATTATTTCTAAAACCAAATGTGAACTGTTAAGTACTGGAAATATTTTAATTGGACTTTCAACTACAACTTTAGCATTTATTTTAAATTAACATGATCATTGAACTGTGATAAAATATTCTCATAACCACAGATAATTTTCTTTATATAGGATGTTCTGCCACTTAATTTTTCAGGGCCCTTTCTCAGGATGATCAGGATGATGCCCATTTAAAAATAGAGGATATAATTCAGATGGTAAGTGCATCTTTATATCCAGTCCCTTATAAAGTTGTGCATTTTATGTGAAGCATTAAAATGAAACTTCCATGTAGCTTCACTGCCATATTTGTAACAAGTTGCTTTTCCTTTATTTATCCATTTGAGATCAGTAACGTAAATGTGGATGTTTAAAACTGTAGTGACAACACATGTTTAAAATGCATGGTAACGGTAAGCTTTCCAGAGCTTCTGGACTTCAGTTTGAATTAGGTGGTTGCCAATATTAAAAAAAACAGAGAAGATGTGCATGTATATAAAACAAGGTGTGAATCAGTAGGATCTTTGCCTCAACACAACAACATTGTTACTCAGAACCATGTATAATATTCCCTGAGAGGGCCCATTCTTAGACAAGATGAGTATCTGCCCACATTGTGCTCCTGTGCAGCCTGTTAAGCATACTGATGTAAACCAGCCTAATGTGGTATTTGAGGTAGGTATTGCAAAGTAGTTTTGTGGAAAGTTACGAAGAATGCAGGCTTCTACCTGTATTATACCATTAATGTATCTCTATGCCCTTGGTATAATACTTCAGACCTTTCCCATTAGTTTCCATACCAATAAGTCAGTATCAAACCCCATGTTGTTGTTGTTGTTTGACCTACCACTCCTTTTTTTTCTATAACCTAACAGTTATATTATATTGTTCTATTTAACATGCATGTGAAGTTAATTACCGTCCTATGCTTTGCAGTTAGAATGTCCAAAACCGGAGTGCTTTGAGACTTTGTCAGCCATGGAGCTTGCAGAGCAAATAACTCTCTTAGATCACATAGTATTCAGAAGCATACCTTATGAGTAAGTATCCTCCAAAGAGTGATTTGTAAGAACATCTGACTTCGTAAGAACATTTTGGGCGCTATGATGATCCATGCTATTGATATCCCTCCAAAACATTTTGCACACACAACTGGATAGTATCTCCAACCTCTGTTGTTGTTTCTCTCATATTCCATTTATATTATGAAAGTCTGAGTTCAAGAATGTTAAAATTAGTAGTATCTCTATTGCTGTTGTACTATGTATTCACTGTGCCATATTTTTTTATAGAATTATGCATTCCTGCTTAGTCTTTCATTGAGGCTTTAATCTCAGGTTAATATTTCAGCATTAACTTCCCGTTGAGAGTCTTTGGTGTATTAAGAGCAAACCTACAATCTACGGTTTGGGTTACTACAGGCTAGGTATAATGGGGGTGTGCTCAGTATCTGGAAAGGTGAATGCTGTCTCAACCCCCTTTATACAGCAGGCTGATCTTGCCAGCTGTTGTGGCGACATTAATAGCAGTTTCAAACAGGCTTAGAATGCTAAGTGTCTGGAGCAAAGGGGAAAACAGAAAACTGAAAGAAACATAAATGTTCTTTACAGTATTTCTGGCTTTTCGCTGTTCCAGCAGTGGCATAATGGAATGCTAGAATGAGATATTGCTGAAATCCATTTGGTATGCAGTTGCCATGGTTTTTTATACTTCATTTATTGGTAACTGTTTTGTTTTTCTTCTTTTTTAACCTAAATTTCTAGAGAGTTTCTTGGGCAGGGCTGGATGAAATTGGATAAAAATGAAAGAACACCATATATTATGAAAACCAGTCAACATTTTAATGATGTAAGTAACTATAAAAATAGAGAATGACTTTGAGGAACTCTTGACACCATGTATAAACTTTGGAATATAAATGTCTGCTTCTGCAGCATGATATAATTTCTGATTTAGTAGTGACTAAATATTATAGCCTCTTTGTGATTAACCTTACAAATCATCAAAGCATGTAAAGATTCTCATTTTCATGAATTGCCAGCCAGCAGTTTAATGGTAATTTAATGGATTGGAACCTTTTGAACTGTACTGAAATCTTCTACAGCTCTACTGATGAAATTTAAGTTCTTTCTTTAGAGGATGACAATATAACAACAACAATTCTGTTAACCATCCTCCATTTTAATGAATACTGATGAACTCTCTACTTATATTCTTGGTCTTTACTCATTTCCTTACACATTGCTGAGAGCAATCACCAGTAGCAACCTTACTGCTGCAGACATTACTCACTGGTCCTCTGGGTGCTTTTGTTACTTTTCCTTTAGTTCACCATTTCTCTTCCTCCTCTCTAACAGCAATTTTTAGTGTATAGTTTTAATCTCTGCTAATCAAAAGCCATAAGATGGCCTAGCTTATTGTTAAATAGTATCATTTGCAAATGTTTTTATTTAAATGTCTTTGATTTCTGGCTTTTTATTTGGTTAGATGAGTAACCTTGTTGCCTCACAAATCATGAACTATGCTGATGTTGGCTCCCGTGCTAACTCAATTGAGAAGTGGGTAGCAGTGGCAGATATTTGTCGATGTATGCACAACTATAATGGTGTTCTAGAAATCACATCAGCCTTTAACAGAAGTGCAATCTACAGGCTGAAGAAAACCTGGGCTAAAGTTTCTAAGCAGGTAAGCAAGGCATCACAACACATTATAGCCTTTCAGGTGGTGATACAGGCAAAACATGTCAAGATATCAGTGTTCTAATTGGATAATCTTGAAGGGGAAGAAACAGTATGGTTGTCTGCTAAGGAGTTCAGCTGGTTTTGTTATCTCATTTCTACCACTTGTATATTTTGTTCATTTGCCATTCCTGTATCATTAATGAAATATTTTAGGCAGTAATTGACTTCATTGAAAGTTTGGAAAAAATGTCAGAGGTGCTCTCAAGCCCAGAAGTCCACAGGCATTTTGGAGGAAACATGCTAGAGCAACAAAGCTTTTTGAATATTCACACCTTTGCATTTTCTCCCACATATTTTCCTTTCTTTTTCTAGGAAGCAGAACTGGGTGGTCATCCCCAATTAAACCGTGCTTCAATCATGCAAAGATTGATGCACATGCTTAACTTCAAGCTTTGCAGCAATCCTGAAATCAGCTAACACAGTTAAGGTTAAACAGGTTCACAGTCTTTCTGCAATCTGGGCTTCAATTTGTCCCTCTGTTGGGTTGCATCTCTTTTTTCCACTTCTTGATTTCTTGTAGATTTACTTACCCACATTCTGCCCAATAGCTTGATCTTACTGAGAGCTGCCTGAGGGGTGCTGAACATCCTCCATTCCCACTGATTTCAACTAAAGCAGAGGATGTTTTACAGGATATTTTATAGGCTGAGTTTGAAATATCCATGTGTGCAGTGTAACTCTGAAGTTGTATTGTTGAATGTTAGTTTCATGAGGCTTGTTTTTTCTGAATCCATCTGTGTATGTTGTTTATTTCTCAAATACTTAAAAGTATTTTTTTTTAAATGATCTGAGTCCCATTTTCTAAAACAAAGTAGAAATTTAGGAAATTATGTCCCAATGACTTCAATGCACCTGGGCTGCAAAGTACCAGATCCCAACTAGTAAGCTAGGTATTTAAATGGGATAAAAAGTGAACTAGAATATCCCTACTCAAGCTGGTACAAAACTCATTCAAAGTCAAGTCAAATTTCCACCCAAGTCAAGTGGCTAGTCCAGTTAAGGCACACCAGTTTCTAGAATCAGTAGTACATGAGGGAATGGAAACTAGCATCATGTCCATCTGCCTTTGAATGTGCACCTGTGCAGATATAGATGGATTGAGTGAGAGCAGCCATCAGCATAAATCTAGAGCAGGGCTCGTTCCTACATTCCTGGAACCATAGTAAATACGCCTTACACCAGTGTTTCTCAACTCGTGGATTGTGACCCAAAAGCGGGTTCCAAGCATAAATGAAAAGATCACCAATAAACCCTAAAAATGGATTCCTTTAAAGGAGAAAAATGTGGGAAACTGTGTGCAGAGTTCCAGCATGCAACGGGCTGCTTGGGAGGTCCCCGTACCGCACACCTCCCCCCAGCCCCGCACACTGGAGGGCTGGGGACTGGGGACAGGGACCAGTGGGTTGGGAGTGAGGGGTATCAGCAGGGCCAGAGGGCTGTTTTCTACTTAAACTATTTACTGGGTTAGGACTGGCCATCAGTGTTTACAAATAGGTTATGGTACAAAAAAGGTTGAGAACCACTGCTGTAAACTACTTTGCCACTATGTCCAATGAAGAAGTCATTAGGTGCCTATGTATTCAGCTGGTGCCTATATTTTAGACTGCAGAGATCCCCTGGTGCCTAAATCTTGGTTTCCATTCATGCATGCTCAGTACCATAATCTGAACAACTAGGCCCTTTGCTCCATCCTAAATGCTTTTCCAATCCTTGTACAAAGGAAAGCAGAGTGTAGAGATTGCCTAAGTCCCCAAGGAGCCCAGTCTGCTATCTGTGTTCAAAGCATACTTAATGCACGCTGGCAGCACTAAGTTAAGTACAAAGTGTGACAGCCATACTCTCTTTCACTTAACAACACAGCAAAAGGTTAGTGCCCATGTTTTATCTAATAGGCTAGTGGTTGTAGGTCTATCTCAGTGTGAGGAGATTAAAACTACATCTTTCACCTCCCAGGGACTGCCCTAGCCATTTGGCTATGGAATAGTCTGGGTAGGGAGGGCACCTTAAGCACTTAACAAACAAGAATGCAAGAGCCAGAAAACAAGCAAGAAGCCACCTGACTTTTTAGTCCAGTGATTAAGGCATTCAGTTGCAGGGAGTGTGGGGGTGGAGAAAGGAGTTCTGGGGTCCAGCAGACAGTCCATGCTCTCAAGACTGTTTCTTTTCTTTATATAATAACCCTCTAATGTTAAAAGCTTAAAACGTTCTTAGGAGTTACTTTTGAAAATGGGACTGATGTGTCTAAGTGGTTTTGAACATTTTTTTTCCCCAATACCATGTATTTTTGTTATTTTGTTGGGGTTTTAAAATCAGGAATGACACTTATTTTTTGTTCTTTTTTTAGACAAAAGCTCTCATGGATAAACTTCAGAAGACTGTCTCATCTGAGGGAAGATTTAAAAATCTTAGAGAAACACTAAAAAAGTATGTTTCTAACAATCAATTAGTAGTCAGATAGGAATATTGGAATACATTTATTGACGATACAAGTTGGTTCTGAGTTAGTTTTCATGATGCAAATAATATTGGATCATATTTTTACCTAATAACCTTTACCAAGTTGAGTTTATTTTGTTTGGCACTATTCTTCTGCTGAATATACTGTAATCCAGTACCCTTGATATGTTAATATAGTACCTCTGGAGAATAATCAGAGCAGATTAAAGCATTATTTTGTATAAAATGCTTCCTGTTGATGGTTTTCCTAAAACTGATAAACTTTTTCAGTAAGTGTAAGACCGGCTTTTATAAATAAAAGTTCTTAATTAATTCCTATAGTGCTTTTTGGCAGGCATAGTCCCCAAGTTCAATGTAACTGCCTCCACATTACTCTCAACCCAAATTTGCTTCTCCAAGTTTAAAGTGCACACAGTTGTGGGGTCATAGCTGGACGATGGTTCTCCCAGGGTACTTGACAACAATTGTGTTGAGTCATCCTGGGAGGTCATTCCAGAGTTAAATTGCTGTATGTCTAATATATGTTTAAACTACAAACCACTGCCTGTGCACGTTCGGGAAAAGACTGCTGTCATAGGACCAAATACTTTAAAGAGAAAAATACTTTTTTGACTTGTGACTTCTGGGTAGCTGTCCCCTCAGTTAAAAACCTAAAAATATTTATTCTGAGTTAATTTTCTTAACTGTAGAACACAACCTTTTTCCTACCAAAGTAGGCAGAAAGTTGTGTGAAATTAGGATTAGGAATGGTTCTTCAGTTACACCTGTTCCTCTGCAGCAAACACCTTCAGTGGGGCAAGAGCATATTGAATGAGTGCAGTAGGCGCATCTACACGAGACACTTAACTGTGCATGAGTATAGTTTACTGCAAAGTAAGCATGTGCATCTACACATGCACATACTTACTACACAGTACACCTCCCTAATCTCGAGTAAATTTGCTACCTGTAAATGCAAGTAGTAAATTTACTCAAGATTAGTAATGGCACAGTAGCACTTGAGTAGATGCCTGACCAGGAACAAAATCTGCTTCTGGTCAGTCATCCACCAAGGGGCAGGAGATAGGTCCCTGACCCTGGGAACTTCCTGCTGCTGGGCAGGCTCTGCCACAGGAGCCTAGGCAGGAACTCAGCACAGAGCTGTGGAGGGACATGCTAGGGAGTTTGTTCCCTGCTCAGATCTTCACTCACGGAGCTGGGGGGCAGGGAACAAGCCTCCCAGCCTGTTCCCCCACCAGCTCTGTGCTCATGGAGCTACAGGGCTGTCCCTGGGTGGGGGGCAAATCGGGGTGACTGCCCTGGGCCTCACACTTTGGGGGACCCCACAAACAGTGCCATACAGGCCCTGCTGCAGCTGTGTGTCACTGGCTGTGCACTGGGGCTGCTCTCAACCCTTCCCCCCCACTCCATCCCCCAGCTCCATGCTGTGGCCACTTTGCCCCTCCACTCCCCACCTCCTGCTCCACGCTCTGGCTGCTCGCTACCCCCTGGCCCCACACAGGCTGATATGCCCTGGGCCCCACATACCCCTAGGGACAGCTCTGCAGAGCTGGGTGGGGAACAAGTACCCCAGCCTCTTCCTCCCCAGCTCCACACTCACATTGCTGGGTGGGGAACAAGCTCCCCAGTCCTTTCTTCCCCAGCTCTGCACTCACAGAGCTGTGTGGGGAACAAACACCCCAGCCTGTCCTCCCCCCAGCTCCGTGCTTGCGGAGCTGAGTGGGGAACAAGCTGCCCAGCCTCCTCCTGGTGTGCAGGACAGGGGCTGAGAACTGCCCTGGTCAGGGACAGGTCCCAGCCCCATACCCCAATTGGGTGATTGAGGCACTGGGCTTGGAAAGAGCTGCAGGGGTGGAGGAGGCCCCAGCCCCCTACCCCAATCCATTGGTGGGGCAGCTATCAGCTAGTTCACTGCTAGCTGCTCCACCGGTGGATCAGGGTAGGGGGCTGGGACCTGCCTTTCCCTAGCAGCAAGTTCTGAGTCCCCTGCCCCTGATCGGGGAGCCAGGGCCAGGAGCAACTTGCTGCCAGGCCAGAAGGACATTGACCCTACCCCAGAAGCAGAGTCCCCTGAGGCCAGGAGACTCCTGGCTTGGTGCTCCCTGCCAGCTCCTGAGCTAGCACCCAGGGGGAGCCTAGAGCTCCCCCTGGTGGCAGCAGGGGCCCATTTCAGGGCTGCAGGAAACTTGGCGCAAAGAGCAGTAAATCTTGACCCTAATCCTTGCATGTGTAGATGCCTGCCTGAAAGCGGTTACTTCAGAGTAGCTTACACCAAAGTAAATTTAGGCCGGATCAAATGCATATGTAGATGTACCCAGTATGTACAATTGTGTGCTGATATTAAAATGCTTATAATACTTCAGAAGAACACAGACCACTGCCCAGAAACATATATAGTT